AGAACTATTTAGATATTAATATTTTCCTTTTCTACATTATGTTCATTGTCATTTGATTTATATGATTGACATTTCTTAGTCTTTTGATGTCTGCTTAATTTACTTTTGCGACCTACTAATCCACACACTTCGCATGCTACATTCTGCTTGTTTTGTTCAAGAATTTGTTCTCTATTTATTTGGTAATACTCTTTCCTATGTTGTTTATGTTCTTCTTTGTTGTTTTGATACCATTCTTTCATTCCGTTCTTTATTTTCTCTCGGTTAAGTGGGTTATACAGTTCTTTGTATGCTTTCGGTGTTCTACCTGCCACACAACGATTGACACATTCTATATTTTGGATATGATAACCTTCTCGTCTAAGTAGTTGCTCTTTACTATCACACGGGTAGTTTTCAATGAGTTCTATCTTACAATTCTCAACTCCGTATTCGTCAAACAACACTCTAGAATTCGAATGTTTGTTTTGCACGTGCTTTTCATTGAAATAATATTTCTGCCTATGTCTTGCCATCCTTTGGCTTAGTTCCTCACACGTGCTTCCTACATAACACTTTTCATAACCAACATCAACTATTTTGTAAATTTTAGCGTTCATATATCTTTCCATATCTGTTAATATCTTTAATCATCTTTTCCTTAATTCATTTTATCCTGAAATGACCATATGGTAGAGAAGTAAAGGCATCAAAATAATATCTTTTATTTTCAAAATTACTCAGAGATTGCTTAACTTGAGACATTGAGAATAACTGATGGTTGCGACTACGAATAAAATTATATGTTATTTCATGCTTTTTGTTTTGAAATAATGCTTCGTGATAGTTCTGATATGACAGTTCTTTTTTCACCTTGTGTTTTACTACACCTTTTGACTTTTTATGTTCATCATCCTCACCGTGTATTGTAAAAGCATATGACTTTGGTTTGAGAGCTATGAATTTGGTAATTATCTTTGAAGAGCATTCGTCCTTAAACATTCCTAAGACCTTTTTATTAGTTTTGTCATGACATGGATGCTCAACAGGATAGTCGCTAAAATCCATGTGTTGCTTTATATCATTGAAATCCTTATAGACATCATCAGTCATTGTTTGAATTACATAACTGTCAGTATCAGTATAAACCAGTTTGATGTTTTCATTATACTTCTTTTTCAATACATCATAGTAAAACTGATACATATGTAATTTGCTTAAATCTAAAATGCTCATTCCCAGGAAAATCGGTTTATCCAGTTTCAGTTTTGCTTTAGTTTTTTCAACTCCTACGAGATTTTCATTAATAATAAATCTATTTTTGAAAGTTGGGTTATTCACACATTTTTCATATCTAACTTCATTATCCACCAGTTCAAAGTCCATATGGTTTCTTTTGTCCTCCATGGTTTTTCCATACACCGCGTTATTCATTAATTTGAATAAATCTTTCTCAAAATCGCTTTTGGCTTCTTTCCTTTTACCAGTGTTAAAATCAATCCACGGTTTCAACCATGCCCTTTGTTGAAACTTTATTATCCTATGTACTTTACCCATTTTCATTCCCATTTTCAAATAATACTGTAAAGTCTTGATATGAACCACATATTTTTCTTTATCCTTTAGATTTAATATTAACTTACTTGTTTTCTCATCCTTGGGATTTTTTCCATCATAATATATTTTGAAGACTTGCTTTTGATAGTCGGAAAGCATATTCACATTTACATTCATTATTTCAGGCGCTAGTGGATAGTCGGAGTGGAAATCATGCAATGTTTCGGGATATTCCAAATCAACTTCCATAATATAACCGAACTCATCGTTTTCATTCCATTTTTCAACACTGGGCGTTTTCTTTGCCCACTTGATATTTTTTAGTGGTAACTTCTGGGACATTGCTAAGCCATACAAGTTATTAGCATCCAAGTAACTAATATAATTTGATGGTTTGTTCTCATCATATGCTTCCCCCATATACTTATTATTTGCCACTGCTAATTTATGACTTACCTGACACATTCCTCCTCTCATTCCCTTTTCAACCATCTCAAACATTTCTTGGTCATGCAATTGTTCTATTTCAACACCAGTTTTTAGAAGCATCGCGTCCCATGCGAAATTTGGCAATGTATAATAATGAGCGGGGTCTAAACCGTAGTATTCCATACACAAGTCTCTAAAGTTTTCAAATACATCGGTCAGTAGTAAAACATCAGTTCTTAAATATAGGTCGTGATACTGCCCGAGCGTCCTGATGCCGAAGTGCTTCCAGACCTTCAAGGCTCGTTCGTAATCCTTGTCGCTGACGTGCTCCTCGCTCAATTTACTGTAAAACGCTTCTTTCGGTGGTAAAGCCCTTTCCTTAAATCTTTCAAAATCATCAAAGTAGTCATAAGGATAAATACCCTTATCGGTCAATAAATCCAAATCTTCGTCAGTTTTAACATATGGGTTTCTAACGCTGTATCTGAAATTGTTCTTCCAATTCTCACGCTTTTTATCATCCTCATATTTACTC